AGTGCGCTCGTGCCTGCGTGCGCGCGTGCGCGCTTGCCCGAAGCTGGCCCGTCCAAACCAAAGCGCACGGTTCTGACTCAGAAAGCGCGCCGGAAACAGCAAAAACGTAACGAAATACGTCACATCCGGGGCGCGCACGACCTACAGCCGCAAAAAGAAGCGTTGCTTTGGATCGCGCTTTATCGCGCTTGCTTTCCCCGCTGAAAGCCAGGGTTCGATTCCTGGCCGCGGAGGCACATTTTTGTTCACTCTGTAAAGTAATGTTCTGGTAAATTCGAGAACCATGTTGGCTTGTTCGAGGTCAGAATGTTCTACACGCCGAACCTTCTACGCCGATTATTCCAGAAGCCCACACGTGTACATAAGGGGCTCCGCGTGGCGATCTGCATTCAGTTTCGCCCCAGCGTTCGACTCTGCTGCTACGCCGACTTCGACGCCCGCGACGCTCTGTTATTATCTTTTCTTTTCCTTTTATTTTTGGCACAAGTTCGCCACATTAAACGTTTATTTCTTCCTGTTTGTTTATTGTTTTTGGTCACCACCCGTGACAATATAACATCACATGGCAAAACGACTGAAAAACCACTGTTCGCAAGTGACATTAAAATTTATATGAGTGTCAATTATCTTGTTGATTGCAACGTACTTCAAAGCGACGTGACCAACATACTGTGCTAGTGTTTAGCGAATAGCCCCCCCCCCCCCCCTTTGCTTCTAAATCCCTTTCAACTACGTTTTAAGGGAAACGGAAATCGAACGTGTGATTTAAGAATCCCGATGTCTATGTTGATAGCGTGCTTTCATTCAATGCTCATGTGTCTTTTATCGTCGGAAACGGAACGAAAATGCTGGGCATGATTTTTCGTATGACTAAGCAGTTCAGAAACCCTTCATGTTTGATTCATTTATGTTGTGCGTTTGTACGATCTAGGCTTGAATTCGGTTCAGTTATTTGAAATTCGTTATCTCGCACGTAAAAAAAAAAAAAAGACTGATACGCATTGTTTAAGATAGACACTTCCAACATCGCGTTTGTTATAATTATAAATTTCTTTTTACTAGAGTTTCTCTCGCACCTTCGTCAAGCAGAAGGCTGGAACGTGATCTAGTTTTCTTGTACAACGTTGTGAATGGGGAGTGCAACAATGACTTTCTTTTGGGCTGCGTAAATATTCACGTTTCTTGCCGTGTTTCTAGACATTTTACTGTTTTCATGTTCATTCAATTTGTAGTGTGTTGCCAATGTCTCGTTTGCAGACTTGCTTCAGCAGAAGCGCGTTGTCTAGTCTGGATATATTCAGTAACGTTTCAGTTTTCCGTAAAAGGTTACGATACCACACGGCAACCATTTAGCGTGCGCACTTACCGTGCATCTCTTCCACTGGTCAATTTTTCGTTACCTCGACCTATGATCTGCTGTGTTTGTTCACTTGGTTTTCCTTCTTTTTCTTATTGGGTATACCAAAATCAAGACTACTCTGGCTGTTTTTGGACACATTAAATAAAGACCTATTACTTATTATTATTACATTATATAAAGTAAAACAGATTAGAGCCGGTATAGCTCTTTGAAGAGTACCTGCCTCAGATCCAGACATGCGCACGGGAGGCCAAACGCGTACACAGCGAGTCAGCTGTGCCGTCATCCGACAACCGCCCCATCATTTCCACTCGCATAGCAAACACGTGTGCGTATCTCCAGCAGGAAACGTGCAAGCTGTTAGAAGACTCTACAGGCATTCCGAACACCAACCTTCTGTAGGACAGATAAAGCCCCTGTGTCGTAAGTATGGTCATGCTGTTTTCCCGCTAATAACGTTACGGGGCAAATATTATCTGGAAGGTGAAACTTGGATAATGATTTTTGCAGCGCAAGGAACCCATGGTCGGACTTTGTTTTGCTGTGTGCGAGTATGCTACATAAGACTACAGTGGGCAAGCGACGAGTGACCGTGGGGGAAGCGAGGCCTGGTTATCGGGCAGCCTGGCACGTGTAATCCTTAATTTGAAATGAAAAAAATTATATATATTTATGTATCAAGGTTGTCTAATATCTATGACCGAAAAAAAAGTGGTAGCGTACATATAAAGGCATTTACCTTAAATATAAAATTTAAAAAAAAGCTAAACATCGGGCTCGTCCACTACGACGGTTGATCTTTGCTAGCTGAAGGCCCAGTTCATGATACTGGACAGTTTGGTAGGGTATTATGTTCTAGCCGCAGTGTAATGCTACTGCAGTATATTTATGTTTGGCGTAGAAAATGGTACACTAATTACGAATGGATGTCCCGATGTCAACAGTATGATTCTGTTTGAGGTATATCTGAACGAAGTATCACGTGGTCATTAAGAAATTAATGAGAGATAAGAAAGATCTCGAAATTGGCAACGGCCTCATACGGAAAGATAAGGTGGTTAAAAAACAAAACAAAGACTGTATGCTATTTTTGTTGTTCTTTTCTGTATTCGGATGAACGAATACGAGTACGTGTTTTAATAAATCATACCGCCTTCAAGAACTTCTTTAATCTCCTAGACATGAGTACTTTGTCTATTGTTATGCCGTGAAATCGGATTTTAAGTTAAAATTAATTAAATCTAAGTTCCTTCTCGGTGGTGGAATTGTGTTCGGCAGGTGCACATTGTAATCTTGTGTAATCATATTTAACCACTTCGACACTAATTTTTAAAGGAGCTGTGCAACGATATTCAATTGGAATGTTTTTCTCTCTGCACGAGCTTACTGGCACAGCTGGGACTCAAGGATACTCACACGCAACGCCATTGGCCAAGAAACTCCTTTGTTGCGGTGTAATTTCAAGGACAAAAGCGATCATTTTCATTCAATCTCTCCTTTGCAAAATTTGATGACGTAACTCGGGGATCGCAGTACACCCAAGTGACGATATTTGAATGCGGTTCATAGATTGGACCCGAGCATTGCGTGAGCACTCGACTTCGGCTCGTGACAATTGATAGCTCGAGAAGCATTCGGGTTGTGACCCGTGTCCAATCGCTGCAACGACGACAACAGCCGAGCCATAACAATGTCTGGAACTCAGCGCGTGTCCTGCGCTTTGCCAACCCCAGCGCGTGGCTATGATCAAAACTGGCGGCATATAATCGGCTCCAGATCACGTGGCCACTTGTTCTGGCTGCGAGTTGAGGGGGTGAACGCTGCTCGTTTTTCTTAAATTTTTTTCTGGGACTTCTATTGCGTGGGGTGAAAAACGAACGCGTGTTTCGTAGGTCATTAACGTTAGGGATCCGTTTTAAGCGGTATTTGCGCAGGCGTGTCTACGCTGTTCTTCAGTCTCTCCCATGGAAGTGCCAGCCGTCCTTCATCTTGGTTTTAAAAGCGCACAAAAGACGAGGACAGAGTAAGAAACACAAACGACGGACGAGCGCTCACTCGCAACTGATAGGTTTTATTGGAACCTCAGAAAACACAAAAAGCATTCCCCCCCCCCCCCCCCCCCCCCCTCAGATCACTCATGCGCACCGCAGCTCCTTGTTGTCAAACTACACATCTTAAAAACTGTAAAATCACGATGTTTACGTGTTGACACGTGTCGTTGTCTTTAGAAACGCCAACTCGGCCTCAGTCAATGCAAGGGAGGGTTGGCTTATGCATCCCTCTCCCCGAGAAGCTACCTAGCTTCTCGGGGAGAGGGATGTTGTTGTTTAGCACCTAAACCTTCCCATTTTTATAGCGACGGCTGTACTGGGCTTGTTGTACTAGGCGAGCGTCCTGTTGCCGAGAACGAACGTAGCATGCGCGCGCATTTATCGCAGGTGGCTTTTGCGTCGGGAAAGGGTGAATACAGCAGTGATACCCTCGTCCTTCCGTCGAAACATAGTCGCGGTTAAGGCGCCACGTGTTCGGCCAATTGATGATGATGATAGCGCGACAGTAGCGCCCCCTCTAGGTCGACACGAGGCGCGTTCGGCCAGTCGCGGTTGCGCTGGGCGTCATGTGATCACGCTCCTCGCCACCTGCTCTTTCACGCTTTCAGTCGCCCGTTCCCTCTGTGCTCTAAGCCTTTGCGCGCAAGAATGGGGCGACCGAAGCATACACCGGAGCAAGCAGCGGTTGCTCGACGGCGCAAACGCGCCCGTGTGAGAGAACGTCGTCGAAGTCTGAACGGCGACGGCCTCATCCTGTGTGTAAAGCCTAGTTCACATGCAGCGGTTTTGGCCCTAGAGCGGCGCGATTTCTGCCGTCGCGGCGCTCTGGCCAGCACCAGCAATTCTGCGGCACGAGCGCCGCGACGGCAGAAATCGCGCCGCTTTAGGGCAAAAATCGTTGCATGTGAAACCCGCTTTAGGATGGAATACAATCAACGTTAAGATCATGCTGCGCGTGAACGTGAAGCGGCACGTAGAATGGAACGTTACCGAGCGAAGAAGGGGAACGCTGGTGCAACCAAGCAATTTGTGCAACGCTTCAGCGAGAACGTGTTCGGTGCTGGCTGTTCCGTGTGTGATTGGTTGTAGTTTACGCAAAAAACCGCGTGACGCAACATGACCTGCATTTCCAGTCAACCCAGTCAATGTCTCACCAGCTGATTCTGTTTATTCGCATCACGTCGGGTGATCGTGCGCGCATCTTTTTTTTTTTTTTAATTTTACAGTTATAGGTTAAGTTAATCATGCAGATAAAATTAGCAATATAATTTGTTATACGCCTGATGAACCGTTCTGTATAAAATGTCCTATCGTCTCTACTTCCTCACAGAACACGGAGAGAGCCAACCACTGCAGTGTACAGACGGAACCATAGCGAGCCCTTGAAGTTCGAGATCGAAGAAGCACATTGCACTGTTTGCGACACAGTGCGAACTTTCCTGCGGCGATTCAACGTTTGCGCTTTACGAATGGCGGCGTTTTCCAGGTAGAGAGCACCACATCCAGCCAATGGCCGAACAAAGTTTCGAATAACAACTTTGGATTATTTCCACCGGAATGAACGGAAGTACTTCACAACCGTCCTAAGGATGTCATCCGCATCACGATCCGTGCCATTTCATCAGCTCGTCGATGGCATCCCGCGGTCTCCCTTCCTGGACCCAGCTTTAGTCCGTCAAGCACTTGCCTACAAGCCCCGCCAGGGGGACATCGTCCTGGTGACTTACCCCAAGTCTGGAAGCCATTGGGTTCAACAAATCATCCAGCTCATCCTAAACCACGGCGAGATCCAACTCCCGATCTCGTCTGAGATGGCAAAGCGAACTCCGCTTCTTGAGAACCAGGGCACAAGGTGGCTCGATGACGTGCCTCCTCCACGAACCATAAGGACCCATCTCCAGAAGCTACGGGACAACTTCAGCGAAGAAGCCAAGTACATCTACCTGGCGCGGAGCCCCTGGGACTGCTGCATTTCCTTCTATCACACCGTGAAAAGCCTACCGAAGTACCGCTTTCAAGACGGGACATTCGAAAACTTCGTCGACGCCTTTCTGACAGAAGACTTTGGTTACGATAACTATTTCGAACACGTCTCGTGCGGCTACGAGCACAGGGATCGTTCGAATGTGTTCTTTTTGGCGTACGAGGAACTCAAGACAGATACGTCCAACGTGGTACTAAGACTCGCCTATTTCATTGGCGAGGATTACGGCAAGACAGTCGAGGAAAACGACGACGTGTTCGAACGTATCTTGGAAAAGTGTAGCTTCGAGTACATGAGGCGCGTCTTCGGCATGGATGCCAGCAGGTACGCGAATGTTCTGACGAGTTACTGCGATTTTCCTCAAAACTCCGCCGCCGAAGACGTCAGAGAGTCAACGGGACCTCTGTTCTCCGTCCGTAAGGGAAGGGCCAGGGGTTGGAGGGATTACTACACGCACGAGCAGATGCAGAGAATGAGACTTCGACTGGAACAGACTTGCAAAAATTTGTCAAAAATTTGGGAACCAAAATAAACCGCGAGTTGTTCGCGCCTAATGACCTCCAATTTCGTATTTCATCGGTGGTATTAACCGGACGACGTACTACGACCGCCTTGTTCACATGCGCGAAGATCATGAGTAACGTGCTCGAATATCACACTTGAGATCACACTGGACACTGACAGCAACACAGGGGCGTGGTCTGTCGCGAGCATCTTATTATCGCTACGCAGCCAATCAGGTTGCTGCATTCGCCGATAAGAACTACGGAGAACGAATGATGTAGCAGAAAACGCGAAAATATTTCCGTTGGCCGTTTTCGTTAAAATTAATTCTCTGTTTTGGGACGTATCTAGAGGCGCGGACTCTTAAAATAAAGTTTGAACTAATTTATTATGTGACTAGAGAAAACCAGATATCAGACATTAAAGATCGATAAAAATATAAATGCTTAAAACGTTTTTTTGTACATTATGCTGAATTAGAGCGCATCTGAAAAACTTCTCGTTTTACATTAGTAACTTTGCGATTTCAAAAATTAAATCCATGTACCTGATGTCGTTTGTTACGCAATGTACAACCTGTAAAAAATGTACACTGTAGTTTTCATTGCAAAAGCAAACTACGCATCGCCGAACAACGCTAATTCTCCGCCCAAATGTAGCACGAGCGGTTAGAACCAAATGCTAAAGTTTCAGAACTAATGGTTATCTCAGTCAAAAGTTGTAGGGGTCTTCTGCAAATTTCAAAGGAAAAAGGGGGCCCCTTTTTCGCCCGTTTTCTGTAACTGGCGTCATTCAGCTGCGTGTATTATAAGCGGTCCGTCCGCCGCCATTTTTTCATTAAAATAGTTTAGAAAATCAGTTATAGGCCTTTAATTAGATAGCAGTTAGTTCTGAAACTTTGGCATCTGGTTTCGCATAGTTACATAGCCCGGAGAAGCCGTTGAGGCCTCCATCTTTTGAGTATACACAAGTGCAGATTATTACATACAGGCTGATGCACCTGAGTCAAAGGCGGTCTCTGGGACTCGCAACGTGGCGACTCTGTAACCTCATTCCGTCCTCACCCGAGCTGTTGACGGCAAACGCTGAACAGCCTGTGGCCCCCTCAAGGGTGCAGCGTGTCCCTGAGGAAAAATATAGTCTTTTCATCTCAAGACAGACACCGTTTCAAACTCAGACAGAGTCTTAGTTTGAAACGCTGTCTGACTACTTTCTTCTGTCCCTTCAACTCTACCCTCAAGTTTCTTTCCCAGTCTGAGCCTTTAGAGATCGTGACTAAAGCATTGACAAATGTTTTATAACCTGGTGCATTCGCCGTGACTCATCGGTGTGCAACACCAACCGTGGCCCCCTGCCGGACGTTTACGGGGACGTGTGTGATAAGTAGACTGGTCGACCTCACCTCATTTGTGTCAGTGTATACTGAAGATGCCACCTGCATAGGTGGCGAAACGTCTGTACCTTTTGTTATTAATTTGTTATGTTAAGTCGGAGTAAACCTTTTCAATCATGAATTCACCCGGCTTTTGGAACATTTTCGCGAAAAGCCTGGCACTGACATAATGGTCACAGAGTGTGCCACATCGCGCTGGGGCTTCATGAACTCCGAGCTGCGTTTTTTTGCAGAACGGTGCGGAAAGAAAAGGTCTTGCTTCTGTTCGAGTAACTTCCCGTGTTCCCCTCCCAAAAAATAGATCCGCTTCAGGATCAGGCGGGGCTGTCGGCTTTCAGGTCCTCGTGAGTACCTCAAAAAGCGTTGAGCTCATTCCTGCAAGTGCAACCGTTTTGGACGGGCTCGAAGTAGTCACTATTGCTCAGGTCACCCTCCAGTAATCGAATCGTCCGTGTTGGGTCTTGAAACACTTTACGCCGCAACACATCTGGAAGTAGGACACGGGACAGCCCATAGGTTTACGGGCCACGCGGATATACTTGGCCTTTGCGTTGAGGTTGTTACGGAGCTGCAGATGAAGGTGACTTGAACCCTGGTTGGCCGCCTGGTTAACCGCCGTGACGTTTCTTCATCGGCCGCTCAGGCCGTTTGTGTGCCGCTTTGTTGCCGTTCAAACACAACTGTGCACACCTTCTGGCCGTAACGGGCACTGGAAAGTATAAAAACCATAGCTATGTTCAGGTTCTCACACCTGCCCGCATGCGCATTCCTCTTTGATTTGGCAACCAACCATACTTCTGTGCCATTATTCCTGATCAGTGTTACCGGTAACACGTTTCTCTTATCGGTAACGTAGTAACGCACTCGTTACATTTCCAAAACGGTTCCCTTTTATTTTGAGGTAACGTAGGTCCCTAACGCGTTCTTTTTATTTACAAGTAACGAGTCACGTATTTCGCTACTTTCATGCGGTAGCACCTACATACCTGGTCCTGGTGTGTGTCTGGAAGGGGGAGGGGGGGGGGGGGCAATGAGCTCCATCGATGACGATGGACTTTCGGCGCCGTAATCGTCTACGGGAGTACCTCCTAGATAACAAGGCCGTAGTGCTGATACAGATGACGTCATCAGCGAAGGCCAACGCTGGTGTCACAGGATTGGACACGGCGATTTCGTCAACGTTCGGCTCGAACTTGACTCGAAGTCGAGCGCTGACGCAGCACTCGTTTCCAATCTGTGTCCAGCATTGGCCCTTGCTGGTGACGCAAAAATGTCAGTACTACGTCGTTGTCTTCTTGGCGGTGTTGACTACGGTCGGACTTGAAGAATGGAGTTTTTGCGTTCGTATAACCGTAAAAAAAAAAATATTTATCGTTGAAGCTTCGAATTTTAGATAATATTGCTCGAGAACTATACGCAGTGTATAGAAATACTTAAGTTGCCAGCGGTTCATCGAGCTCGACCGATCTGTGTTGGAAATGCTGAACTGGTTTAACAGCTGGCACGTTTCCTGCTGTAGATACCCACCCACACGTCGCTTGACATGAGTGTAAATGTTTTTTTTTTGTTTTTTTTTAACTCTAAGGGCGTAGGCGATCTTTTCTTTTTTATAGTTGCGTAGCTGTTTTATAGTAGGTCACAGTTTTTAAGAACCCGGTAAGTGCTTCGCCTCCAGCATGTGCTCGTGGATTTCTGCCTGGCTTTTCCCGCGCTTGCGACAAAATTTCGTCTAAAGCAGAAACCTCACGCTGGAGGGATTCTGGGTTCGATCCCCACACCTGCCCGTTTCTATCTGAATGAGCATCGTATACCGGCGTCCGGTCGTATATCACTACTGCGTGATGCACGGTAAAGACCCTAGGTGAGGGGTTGCACTGCACTGGCTAAATGTCTCATCTACAGCTGAGGATGCCCTTTGAGGCTGACGAACTTCTGACTGTCTAAACATACATACGACTAGGAGTTAAACCTAGTCGTGGTTGTGATCAAACTGACAATAAACATGTATGTTACCGCCAATAAAACATTCCCGATCTTGTAAACGCTTGAAAAGCTGCAAGCAACACTTTATATTTCTTTTATGTGACAGAGTCCAAGCATTGGAAAACAAGAATTAAGTAAAGCAGAAATCGAACAGCATGGAATATATTTCCGGGAAATAAAAGGATTTTTTTTTAAAGGCAACATAACATGTGTCACTGGTGTTTCCTTCGTTAAATGACCTTTTTCCTACTAACGTGCCCAATACAAGTCAATAAAGAGCACGCCCCCAAACAATGCTTGGATTTCTTGCATGCGAATTAGACATCTCTATAACCTGAAACAAAAAATGAAGGTTTCTTAGATGTCCATTGATCAGAATATTGACATGAAAGTCTAGTCAAATGAAGCACAATCATTTGCACGGGAGTAATTTATGCAAGAGATTAGCCAAGCTATTTTCTTTTCATTTTCCAATTTTGTGGCCGTCTTTCTAAGAAACTCGCAATGGACATTATTCTTCGAAATCCCAGAAATAAAGAAAAAAAAGTTTTGTTAATCAGCAGAAGCAGTTCGCAGTAACTGCGAGCAGAGTCTGGATGAGTAAGGACAAATTTACTTGACACTAATCCGCGGGGTCTTTGTTCAGGTCGTGTACTGTTTTTTAGTTTGTTTGCCCTAATGTTGAAGCAGGCTGCTGCGCGAGGTGTTTTTCGCAATACTAACAACAATAACAACTCCTCGGCACAATGCTCGCACCGACCCCCGACTAGCCCATGTCGTGCTCCAACCTGGCAAGGTCCAGGTACCAGTCCCACCTGTAGGCGCGGTTCTTCTCTCTCCTCAAAATTATCAGCTTGTGTCACCAGTATACCGGACGCAAAAATAGTTCTTAGGAGTGAATGAATTCGAGCTCGAAATGCTATCCCACTGGCAACCTCGAGCACGAAAACGTAGCTCCTCGCAGCACCACCTCTTCCGGGGATTCAGCGACCAAAGACAATCTGACCGTAATTCCGACGTCGTCTAAAAGGATGCACGGAAACAATGGTTTATTGTAATTTGTAATATTTATTTTAAGAATACAAGGCCCGACGTTATTTCAGCGCAAAATGTAAACAGACATCGCTCACCTGTAAAGTGATATCATAGCCAATGTACTACCGTACTTGCGAGGCGAACCGGGCTTGCCTCGACAGAGCATACGTGCTTTTAAATCTTTATTTATTTACCACCGGGAAGAATTCTCCCACGCTTTTTATGTGTTCCTAAATGTCCACCGTACGCCCGACACATCTGCTACGCGACCAACGCGACACGACCATGTATTGTTGTGATGGCGCCATGAACTATTCCGAGGCGCCACTTGGTTCGGCGCTTTGAACCTAATTCCTCCTTTTTGGCTTCTTTTTTAGCCTTTTTGTTTGCTTCGTGTTTTAGGCTGGTGAGGGTGTAAAATTTGCTTGTTCGACCCTTTCGGTAACCTTTTAACAACTTTTTTTTTTCTTTTTTTAAGAGTGAATGGGGCGCCAGTCTGTCTCCCTCAAGGACGTAATAAGCAAGGCGCTTCCTTCCTTATCAGATTGAGGGTGTAAAAGTTGCTTCTTCCACCCTTTTGGTAAACTTCTTCTTTTTTCATTTTTTTAAGAGTATAG